AGCCTGCAGCCTCTGCAATCTGTGTGAATCTTAGCACTGTGGCATTGTCATAGTGCACCTGCACTCCTGAACTCAATCAGGATTGCTTAAATGAAGTTCAGGACATTCAGTCATTGCCTCTTCGAATGTGTGTGTTTACTACCTGTCTGGATGTTTTTGTGTTGCTAGGCCTGTTTCCTATTACTTTACTTGGACTGCTTCTGCCTGTACCTACTGCCTGCCTCCATAGTTGGCCTGCCCTCAGCTACATTGACTCCCAGCCTGTCCTGACTCTGTTCCTATTCCCAGCCTGTCCTGACTCTGTTCCTATTCTGTGATTTGGTCCTGTATCCCGATTCTTTTTGTACATTTGGCTGCCAATCTTTAGTGACACAGAGGATCCATGACATCCAGTGACAACCTTTCTTGCTGTCAAATGAAGAAGTTCTAATGGAATAGAAGTGTTCACACTCATAAGGAAAATAGCTTGCCTTTTATAAATGCTGCTTAAAATTTTTTTTTATAGATATACGAAAAAAAGAATATGATGTGCCTGATTCATACAATAAAAATATAATGAGATTGCTGCAAAACATTACTAAATGTCAGCACTTCAACAAGAAAACTTATTTTCTAACTAAGGTCATAAGTCTGTAAACAGGTAAAACTAGCGCTATTAGGACTTGTACTTCCAAAATATGCCCATTCCTTGAACTGATCATCTAGAATGATACTGCATGGAAATCCTAAGCAGTATCAGCTCTGTCCAGTTTTTTCCTGCTGCACTACAGAACACGCCCCTCCCCTCACCTTCATAACATAGGAGAATGGTGTTCTGTGGTCCAGCAGAGAATAACTGGACCGGGTTGATAACACTGCTTGATTTCCATGCAGCAAAGGTAGCGTTGTCACTTCAAACAGAACTCATTTCAAACAGTCATTTCAAACAGAACTTTATGAACTCACTGAATTTTTTGGCAGGATCAACAGACTTTTTTTGTACTTGCAATGTTTATAAAGATACAAAACACAGGTATGTCTACTATATTGGACATTGATGAGTTTAACGCACTACTGACTGGAGCAAGCCTCTTGTCCCCCATTAATGTATCCCACTCTATATCAAGTGGCCCTCCTGATCCCTGCTCACTTAATGTCACTACCATTTCCTTTCCCTCCCCCCATAATCTAGTTTAAAAGCTCCTCCAGTTTCCTAACCATTTTTTCCCCTTTCAGAGTTGCACCTTCCCCATTCAGATACAACCCATCTCTCCTGTAGAGCCTGTAGCTGACTGAAAAGTCAACCCAGTTCTCCATGAACCCAAACCCCTTTTTCCTACACCAGTTCCGCATCCACTCATTCAGTTCTCTTAACTCTCTCTGCCTCTCTGGAGTGGCTCTTTGCACCGGCAGTATTCCAGAAAATACTACCGTGGAGGTCCTTTTCTTTAACCCAGCACCTAAGTCCCTGAAAACATTTTTAGGACACTCCATCTGCCTCTAATTCTGTCCTTTAGAACCAATGTGTACCATGACAGCTGGGTCATGCCCAGCCCCACCCAGTAATCTGTCCACCCATTCCGCAATGTATTGAACACAAGCCCCTGGTAAGCAGCAGGCTGGCTTTTCTGCATTTATTGTGAGTTTTCCAATAAGCAGGAAAGTGTTCTCTGACCCTTGGTGTGGCTGCTTGTATTTACATGTAATTCTTACACCTCTTGTTGATCGTGTTCACATGTTTGGCATTCTTTTTTCTTGCATGATATCCCTTGAGGCAAGCACTGTTCACTCTCTAATGAATTCCTCATGCAATGCTCAAAATTCACATGTTCAGCTAGCTGCCTCAGCTTTGTAACATATTGGTCTCTAGTCTCTGCCTGACCTTGAAAAAGTATCTGTGACTTATGATATTTCAGACAGGCATAAAATAGCTCTGTAATGGATCCAGAGTCTTTTGCACATCTTTTTGTTTTCAGACAGTGTGAGGTGTGGAATATACACACACTCTTTCCTCATCACTTAGCTTATGGTAGCCATACTTTGTAGTTATTTAGTAGTAGTAGAATTTGTATTCCTGTATAGCTGATGGTATTATTTTGCATTGCTGTATGTATTTATGGGATTTGTAGTCCTGTATAGCTGGTGGTATTCTGGCATTGCTATATGTATTGATGGGATTCGTAGTCCTCTATAGCTGGTGGTATTATTCTGCATTTCTGTATGTATTGTTGGGATTTGTAGTCCTCTATAGCTGATGGGATGTGTAGTATTATTCTGCATTGCTGTATAATGTATTGCTGGGATTTGTAGTCATCTATGGCTCGAGGTATTATTCAGCATTGCTGTATTTATTGATGGAATTTGTAATCCCTTATAGCTGAAGGTATTATTCTGCATTGCTATGTGTATTGATGTGATATGTAGTCCTCTATAGAGGATGGTATTAATAATTCCATCAGCTATAGAGGACCACAAATCCCAACAATACATTATACAGCAATGCAGAATAATACTGTTATTAGGACATTGCAGGCCTTTGCTGGAGTAAACAGTGGCCAAAGGAAGAAGCCATGTTAAAAATTGTTTAATACTTATCGTTGCCCTGACACTTGCTGGAGGTTATTTATCAGGTATGTCATTGCAGGCCTTGACACTTGCTGGCGATTATTTGCTTAACATATGCCATTTATACAGTTAACTTTTAATTGTTCGTGTGCATTTTTTTCATTATAGGTGTAAGTGGGGGCCTCACATTTGAAGTTCACCAAGGCCTCACAGGTCTAGAGCCACCTCTGGATTTTTTTTTTATCTGTTGGTAACATTTGGTATCTTCTATTAAGGTTCATTAGATTTCCATTATCAATTCAGTAAACTAATGTTTGTTTAGTTACCCATACATGTGTACATTGGATCATCTGGTGCTTCTAATCTCATCTGCTGGTTGTTTGATGTGAAGCAGAATATGCCATCCATGTTGTCAATAGAATCTGACCAACGTGAATGCTTTGAACTTGTGCCACGCAGACCTTAGTACAACTGCATCCATCATCACATCTGTTAGACAGATATCTGTTTGTATATCAATCACAAATATCATGAGCAACCCACATTGACCTAATTATCAACAGAGCAGTTGACAACAACCTTCCCTAAACGATATTTGGATTTTTTTTTTGTGGGTAGAGTAAAATCTGGCAGTTTTTTGTTGTTTTGCTGTCTCATCTCTTGGGGAAGATTTCTCTTTGGTTCCTGTCCCTGAGAGTACAGAAAAATCTCACCAAAAGGAAATCCCATTGTTGAGACTTGTCATTGTAACAGGTGTCTCTATTGGAAATTTCCGCTCCACTTTTATTCTAGTGACAATGGTCACAAGGGCAAATAGAGAAGGTGAATCTCATCAAGGACAGCAAAAAAAAAAAAAAATGGAGATTTAACAATTCTAAACTCTACACCCAAAAAAGATTAGGCTTTCAATACACTTAAAAGCCGATAGCACTTCATTATACGTGAGGATGCCAAGGGACAGTCCACAAGCCACAATGTAGGAGAGATGAGGTGAGCTCCAACTGCTGGGGAAGCAGAGATAACATATGTTAAAAGTCCCTTACACAAGTACCCTTTATATTAACAAATAGTGCAATGTAGGTATAGAGTTTTTTAATTCCCTGGAGAAAGGCTTAACGTCTAAACCTTTCCATAATATGTTTGATACCGGAACATCAATGTCAATTTTCAGTGTTCTTTTTATTGTAAACAGCCAATCAAAATATACCATTTAGGTGCTCACAGTGTACAGGTACAGTTTTCAGAATGCTTTTTATACATCAATAAAAATAAGTGCCTGGTTTGAAAGGTATCATGGCAGAATTCATTAATCATTGGATGAAACTGTGTGTCAGACAACAGTAACAAAACAATACGAGAGCTGCTTGTGACCTTTTCTTGTGCTGCTTTTGCATTGCTATGGATTTGTTTAGGGACAAGTGCCTATGAACACAAGCCCTTAATGGGGCATTCATGGGTGGGGTTATCTTCCCAATAGAGCCAGGCATTCACAAGGCACACAATTTCACTGCAGTCTTAACATTTTCGACCTGAGCAAAGAAGGTCTGATGTTCACCATTACGCCAATGTTCTGTTTTAATTCCCACTGATCTGCCCATAACTGTGTGACATAATCACATGACACAAACACCCAATTATGAACTACTCTGGTGACCAGATCCTTGGTGCGTTGCGCACTTCTGTCAAAGAAATCCTGAGATCACCCAACAAATGAATATTAAAATTAACAGATTTCTAACAAAAAGCAGGCATGTGTGTTCAGTCTTAAAAAGACTTCCATGTTCTCAGGGGTTCAGCAGGACTTTCAACAGTGACCTCCTGAGAATTCAATATTTTTGAGATATTCTGTACCTCCACTACACCATAGATTATTACATATAAATGGATTTATGCATGAAAAATTGTGTTGCCTAAAGCAATCAGGGAGACAATTTTACAGCCTGAGTCATGTTTACCATTAGGCACAGAAGACCTTAAGAAAATTAGGCAGCTTTTTTCCTCTGTATCAGTCATCTCATATAAATTCATTCATACATAGTAACAATATTCTATGCCAGGATAGGGCCAATAAAACAAGAAAATGTTTTGTGTAAAACAAATGTGTTAGCAGAAGGGGCCCTGATTCAGGCACTTAGGATTGTTTGTTTGCCGGCAGGCTCAAGTGATGGATATCTATCCATGGATGCAATGAAATTAAAATTTTACCTGGATAAAAAAATATAAAATCCCGTTTCACAAGAAAACTAACAGAGATTTTCTTTTTGTGTGACTTATTTACAATTTCTGCATCAACTGGCTCAATTTCCAAGTGAAAAAGTGATTTAAAATAACATTTACTGACTACTTTTAGAAGTATTTCATCCAATCTGTTCTGCCATCTTTGGTTCTGAGTAAAAGGGCAACTTGAGCAAGAGGGTATAGGTTTTGGTATGACTGTTTTATAAACTGAAAAGATGGGTATTTGCAGCTAGTTTTGATGGTAGGGCGGATATTTATTGATTTAGAATTTACTCCAAAATCTGGATTCTTTAGAAAAACACTTTTTTTTCTAGCTAATTGACTCAAAACTGGACTGTAGGAATGGCGCAGAAATTCTGAGCATAGTATTGCTCAATAAGCCGAAGAAGAAAATAGTATTTAAAGATGTAAAAATAAATATATTTAAAACAGAGCATAATACAGTGAAAATTCCTCAAAGTAAATAGGCATTTTTTTTAATATTAATACTATTAATGTACCCTTACTGCTGTAAATATCTAGTAGCATTGTAATGAATCTGTCATAACCCAGGTTGAAACATGTATCAGCCAAGCTCATGGATCAGGAGGTATTTGCTTTGGCTGGCTTGCCTTACCAAACAAGCCTCCCCATTCATTGCTATTAATATCAAGAATGATGCGTGCAAGCACCAAGAATATGAACAGATCTCATTTATATACAAAAGAAAAATATTTTCCAGAATGTTGGGGAAATTTGTTATGACTGATGTTTGAATTTTTGTCACATTTGTAGAAGTCTTTATCTTCCCATCTGATAAATATATTCACAGACTGATCTGCTTCACTTTCCTGAGGACTTTCAGCGGATGTAGGAATTTAAGCTGTGCAGCAAATACATTAGTGCTGTCAAGAAAGCAAAGACCTGGAAGAAAATGGAAAAAATAGGAATAAGCCATCAAATAATATATAATTAACATTTAGAATTACATTTGTCCATCCAGCTGCATTTACTTTGAACTTTGTGTCTTGAAATACGTACAAGGTGCCTCTAGGTTACTGTTAAATAGTAGAAAGGACAGATTTCCTATTTATGTTTTGTAATGCATTTTTTCTGGGCAGGGGAATAAAAAAAGTCAGTCATAACAGATTTGCAGATTCAAGCAAGGGCTTACTGTACCTTTCTCCCCTCAATGGGTTGGATTCCTGTGTAGCCAAAATAGGCCATGGCCTAGGCTGGCAAGGCTTCCTGGGGTGGCACATAGTCACCCATACATTATGTTTCTATCAGTAACACATTCCTATGTAAGTCAAAAGGTTCCAGAATACTTCCCACCCTGCTACTGCAGCCTTAGTCTTGTTCATATAAAATGTGTGTGTTTTGTTGGTAGAAAGGTATTAGAATTCACACACTTTGAGCTGGTACATCTAAAAGAAAAGGGTGACAGTTTGCTCTTTCAGTTTTCGTTTTTTGCTGTACTGACAAAGAGTGGGCATACTGTGTCACTCCCAAACTCCCTGCCTTGTCAACATTTGATCTTCTTAGAATCAATCAATAAAGGAAGATGGCAGAAGACAGCTGGTCTAGGGGAAGAAAGTATAAATCTGACCATGTACTTACAGTGTTCCTTTCTTTATCTACATCTCTGTAGTGGCAGGTACTCCCCTCCACCACTTAATTTTAGGCTGGAAGTCAGTTTTGCAGTTGCTGTGCCTTCCAGCTAGTAACCTTATAGGTCACTGTGTATAATATAAGGAAGTTCTACTGCATGCATAATGGCCACTAGTCTAACCTTCTCAATACAAGCAGTTTGTCTGGCAAGGGGAGACCACAGCTTTCCACACAACTGGGTAGTTGTACGAAAGGGATGGGTATTATAGCCCACATTTCAACCCACACTGTGAAACAAAAGGGGTTTATGACACTTCACTGAACTGCTCCATCACTGCTCATAATGGCTTCCATAGCAGAGCTAGACAACACAGCATTGTTGGGAGATAACAAGTATTAACCTTATTGAGCTGAACTAATGTTTGCATAGGCAAGCCTTCCAAGTAGCAACTCTCTAGTCATAGGTCACTCAGGCTCTACACACTGCATTGTGGCAGACGGGTGCCTATTCTGCCATTCCTGGAAGTGGGGAGTTTTCAAAGGATTTCAGACTGTCCTTTTATCCATTACCCCATGCTGGTTATGATAAACAGATTATGTTGATTGGAGCAACATGCACCATTTTTATTCCCAGATCATTTTTTACAAGTCATTTTGAATTGAGAAAGCTAGTCAGATGACCAGCTTTCTTGTGTTCATGAAAAATACAGCAAATCCAGTTGCCTTGATGTATTTTTTACAGATATACTATAACATGGATGAATGAGAACCTTCACAGAAATATGTCCTTAAAGGTATGTGGCATTTTATGGTGCCTGTTACCATTTAGAAAATGAACATTAAAGGAGAACTATGAGGTGAGTGATTTTCACTCATCCTCATAGCTCTAGCCGACCTGTGACAATGAGACTGTCACAGGTCGGCTCAGTAGATCGGGAAGTGAGCGAACACATAGCAGCGTTCGCTCACTTCTCGATCCTTTCACGGCAGAGACCCGTGACAGGGTAGGGGCTGGATTCCCCCCTCCCCGCTCTGATTCTCCAGAGTTGACTGGCGGAACGGTCAGGGGGG